GGCCCCAAAACGCGCACCACAGGCCGGAGGTCTCGGGCATCCTGCAACGGTGGCGCCCCTGCACAGAGGCTCGCACATGCTTGGCACGATCCGAGAGAAGGGTGACATCATCTTCTGGACGGGCCGCCCGAAGCACTTCGATCAGGCCCACGAGCTCGGCCCGCGGGGCCAGGCCCGTGCGCCCCGCGCCCCGAGAGAGAGGGCTCGGAGAGGACGAGCGCACAAAACTCCACGCCACACGTCGGAGCGGGGGCTGCTTTCCGCAGCGCCCCCCTGGGCCGTCAGCGGCGTAGGTGCCCCCGGGCATGGGGCTGGGCCTAGGCGCGGAGCCACTCGGGCTGGCGAGACTCGGGGGGGGGCTCAAGCCAGGGGAGGGGGACTAGCACGCGCAACCAGTAAATCGGGAATTGACCAACTACCAACAAGGCCTGCTGGGACAGATGATTGGTCCCGACCACGAATTCAGATGGGGGCTCGGCACCAGCCCTGGAGGCGCACTCCTGGTAGTAAAAGTTGCGCGGGCATTCCCAACAACGGTGCGCACTCGTCCCTGAGGCTAGCTTGTACCTCTGGCGCAAGTCAGCCATTCCGCAGCCTGCAAAATACCTGCGAGACTCCGTCCAGTGGCCCGCGCAGGCCGCGAGCCGAACCGCGCTGGCAAGGGCTGGCTGAACTTTCATCTCCAATCTCGCGGCGAGGCCAGCAGCGCGCTGGAACCAGACGCCGCCCGCCGCCCCAGCCCCGCCCAAATGCCTTGAGGCTTGGGGCCGCGCTCAGGGACTCGATCGCGGCCTCGAGGGCGTCCATGAGACGGGTGGGTGGCGCCGCCCCCTGATCTATTCGCTCCCATGCAGAGCCCTCTGGGCCAGGTTCGCGCCGTGAGTCGAGGGCTGGGCGCCCCCGCCCGAAGGGGGACAAGAGACGCTCGGCAAGCCCCCAGGGGGCCTCGGACGCGGGGCCAGCCCTTGGCAGCGCGGGCAAGGAACTGATTTCAACGCCCTCGGATCCTCTCGGCAAGGCTGGGGTCGGAGAAGACACCCGAACGCGAGGCTCCAACAAGCTCGCGTATATGCAGGATCCACGGGCCGCGCCCAGAGCCGAAGGTCACCCTTCTAGCCGCGGCAACACGAGGCCCGCGCTGAGGATACTTGCTGCCCAGGCGGGCCCGGCCACGCAACTGTCGCAGGGTGGACGGGGCCAAGGACCTCAGGGGCCCTAGCGGCCTTGGGGGAACTGTTCGTGGGATGGAGCTTCGTTGATTTGGGCCTGGTCTTGGCAAGCCTCGAGATCTCCGGGGCCGCGCGTCGGTCCTTCTGCAGACGGTGGCGGCGGACCCTCGCAGATCTGGTAGCTCCAATGCAGCGTCTAGGTCCCTGGCGACAGAACAACCGAAAGCTTCGGGGCCCCATCCCCAGCTTCAGTGGCCCATGCATTCAACCTGGCGCGCGCTGCAGCTGATGGGGGCCATGAAGGTGCAATTTCTGATAGACAGAACGCGCCTCCTTCGCCTTGAAAACCCAAGCAGGGCGCGAAAGCACGACTGGCCTCAACAGATGCTGATCGAACGCTCCGCGCCAATCGTCCTGAGGGCAAGGCCATCGATCCACTCGCGGAGATGCATACCAAGGCCCGATGAGGCCGCCTTCTGGAGAGGCCCCAAGAGAGAGGCTCTGGCCCGGGAGACTGCGCGGCCGCGCCCCGCCAAGATACCCCCCCCAGGCAAGAACCCCGTGGCGGGCCAGCTTTTGGAGGGTGAGGGGGCGAGGGCCGAGATGGGCGCCCAGGGCCAGGACAGGGGGCCTGAGAGGGTAGCCTAACTCGTGGGCGGCAGTGGCAAGGTCGGACAGGTAGACCAAATCGTAGAATCTGCGCGTATCCAACAGTCCACCCGCCGCGAATAAAGCCCCTGGCGCCGCCAACTCTCCTGCGCGCTCGTCGATTCAGCCTGCGCGCTCAGCTGAAATGCCTAGGACATATCCCAAGGTCAGTGGCCGGCCCTATCCCAGGCCCCAGTCGCTGGCTTGCGGATTCTGCGCAGCAGCACGTCGCGCAAGTTTGTAAGGGCGATGGGTCGGAGTCCTCCATCCTCTTCATCACGGGGGCGGCCAAGACCAAACCACGCCTGGACAGGCGCGGCGGCGGCCTCCTCCACACCTGAGAGCGGGGCTGCCAAAGCTGAGTGGCACTCGGGAGGGCCATCCTTGACTAGGCGGGGCGGCGAGCCGCCCAGGCCGCGCCCGCGCCCGCCAGGTACCGACCTCAGGGCATCTCCTCCTCCTCCTCCTCCTCCTCCTCCTCCTCCGCCTCCTCCTCCTCCTCCTCCGACGGGGCCCATGGGCTCAGACCTTGGAGCAACAACTCTACAGGGGGCTGGGGCGCAGAGCGCCCCAGGCCTGCCGCGGCGGCGCCAGATCTGGCGCCGCGCCGCCCCCCCCCCCCCCCCTCGATCTCCAGGGGCTCCGAGGGGGTAGCTGCCGGGTGCCCTCTGAAAATGGGCTCCCCCCGCGGCCCCACTGGCGCCTTCAAAAGCCCGTGAGCTGGGGCGGCGGACTTCTGCAATGCTTCGCCCGGCCAGACCGTCCAGCGGCTGCGGGAAGCGTTCGCGGCAACCGCGGCAGCACGCGCGCCCATAGCCTCGGCCTCTTCAGCGATCTGCTGTAGGCTCTCGGCGGGCATCTCGCGGAGGCGGCGGAGCCAGTCGATCCACCCCGAAAGGATCGCCCTTTTCTGGGCGCCAGATGGGTCGAGGGCTTCGGGCGGGGCAAGAATCTCGAGCTCTCTGACCTGACTCCCAAACTGGGCTGCGCATGCGGCTCGGGGCGCCATAGGTTCCTCAGGGTCAGCCTCGGGGTCAACAAGGCGCCTCGAGAAAGCCGACTGGGAAGCAAAAGCGTGCCAGAAAACGAGCATGGCGGTCGGCCAGCGGGGGGCTCGCGGGGGCCGCGGGGCCAAAAGGGGCCTTCACCTTCCTTGCGCGCGGGGCCTGATATCTGCCCACGCACCCGGGCCATTCTTCTTCTGGCAACAATTTTCTTGCGCGCGCGGCCAACTCCAGCGCGCAAGCCCAGAGAGAGAGAGAGGGAGAGAGAGAGGGAAAGAGGGAAAGAGAGAGAGAGGGAGAGAGAGAGAGAGAGCGAGAGAAGCCAACATCAGTGGCGGACTTGAGCGCATCGCGCTGCTCGCATAACTGCTTGGCAACCTGCAGATTGGATCTGAAACGAGAGGGCTTGGCATTCAGAAGGGCGCGCGCCCAATGCGCGGCCTCGTCCCAGGCCAACCCCCAAGACTTGCTGAGATCAGTCTCAATGTCCAAGGCCTTGGGCTCTATGATTCGCGGGCCGCCGATCAGCCTGGGCGATGGCCTGCAGCTCATGCTTCAGAGCCACGCGGGCCCGCCACGGCGACGCGGAGTCAAGACCGACAAACTTGCCGACAGATAGGACATTGCCGGTAACTAAGCCAAAATCGATATTGCTTGCAGCGCCTCTGCCGCCCGTGCACGCGACGGCCAGGTCAGCAGGGATCTCGCGCAGACCGAGCCTGCTGAGAAAATCAGCTCTGGCAATATCTTCGACTGGGTTCTGTGAATCACCGATCGAGAGAACTGGCCAGGCGATCTGACCAACGCGTGCCCCTAATTGGGATAGCACCTGCAAGTTCCTGCCGTTCAAACCCGCACCAGACACGAGGTAGACTGGAACTAACGTGAACACAACGTGCCGAAGTGTGAGCGTGGCCATGCACCACCGCGAGCAAGCACTGTGAGACAACTTACCCGAGGCCTCAACTGCCAGGCTAAAGAGACCGGGGTGCGAGCGGGCGAAGACAGCCACACCAACGGAGGACGAATCTGCGTCTGTGGCGTCGGCAGCCCCTGCTACCGCCTTCCAGCCTAGTCGATTCATAGACTTCAGCACCCCAGCCAATCCTGGACCCAAAGCTCGGGTTTCAACAACAAGAACTGCAATGTCTGACTGGGTCCCAGCAAGCCAGCGCTCAGCTTGTCGACCCCACTGAGAGATGTTTCCGTACGTGATCTTCAGGAACGCGGTTGGACTAGAAGGGGTTTGGGAGAGAGAGAGAGAGAGAGAGAGAGAGAACAAGGGGTTTGACTCTCCGGAACCTGGCTCTAGGAAGCAAGAGAGAGACAGAGAGAAGGCACATGTGCTTGTTTGTCTCTGATGTCTGCGGTGTCCCGGAATCCACATATTGTCTGTTTTGTCTCTGGTGCAATGTTTCAAAGCCCCTTGAGGTCTGGGAACGACGGTTCGGACGCCCGAGGCAAATAATCAGGGAACGAAGCTGTACGACGCCGTGAAGCCCGACAACTCACGCTGTCGGGCAGGCGACTTTTCTTCTCGAGTCGACAACGTCCGCGGCGACACCGACAGCGAGTCCTGCTCAAAGTGGGCAAGGACCTGCTGTTGGACCAGATCGATCGCACCGCGCGACGAGGATGAGGAGGAGCCCAAGGAGCACGAGATGACCAGGATGCAAGCCCCGGAGGGGGGAGACCCGGCGGCACGAGCACGACCAGGAGGAGGCGCGAGATGAGGAGGAGGAGGAGCAGGAGCAGGAGCAGCTCAGGAAAACCCACGCCGCTCCCTCGGACGGGGCCAGCGCTAGGACAAATCCGTTCCAAAGCTTTCCAGCACGCTCTCAGAGCGAGCGTTCCGGAACGCTCTGAGAAGGCCTCGGCGCCCGAGACATCCTCCAGAGCCGCCCGATCTCAGAGACTCCCGATGTACTCTGTGTCCCTCAATAGTTTTGGGTCCCTTAAGAGAGAGAGAGAGAGAGAGATAGGAAGAGAAACACAACAGACACATAATGATTGTCGGAATGACGGCAATATCTGGAATATGGTAAAAGGTCATTGTCATGATACAGAGTGTCTGTGCGTGCGCGCGTGTGCGTGCGCGTGTGCTTGCGTGTGCGTGTGTGCGGTTCCGTGCGGTTGCGTGCGCGCGTGCGCGCGTGCGTGTGAGTCTGTGCGTGCATGCGCGCGTGCGCGCGGGCGTGTCGTGTGCAACGATGCGCGTGAGGTCCCGCGCGCGTAAGTACTAAACACCCGCGTGCGTGGAACCACGCGTGCTTTGAGGCATGACCATATGCCCCCCCCCGGACTGCCAGTACCCACATGCGCGCCCTCCCAGATTACAGGTACCCCCCCCCCGGACTACAGGTACACCCCCCCAGACTACAAGTACCCCCCCCGGACTACAGGTACCCCCCCGGACTACAAGTACCCCCCCCGGACTATAGGTACCCCCCCCGGACTACAGGTACCCCCAGAACTATTGAGGGACACAGAGTATACCTCCCCCTATGTTATCATCGCCCTGGCTGAACATTGTTTATCCGATCCCCATCCCCACCAGCGTGGGTTGGGCCCCACTGACCGATTTACCCCCCTGATGGGGATATAGGATGCTCGCTTCGGGTTTCGAGGGGCATATCCCCAACTGGGGGAAGGAGATGGTGGGGGTCTGGATGGGGATGGGGGTCGGTTGAACGACACTGAATGTATACCTCCTCCGATGTTATCCTCGCCCTGGCTTCGCCTCACTCCCTCCCCGCCTCGACCGACCCGACACGAACGACGACCGCCTGCGACGGCGGAACGGCGCAAACATTGTCGTCGTTTTCGTCGTCGTCGTCTTTTTCGTCGCCGTCGCCGTCGCCGTCGTCGTCGCCGTCGCCGGCGTCGGCGTCGTCGCCCTGGCCGGCGGCGGACCTCGCCGGGTGGCGGGCGCGTCGCCCCCTTCCGCGGAGGTCACCCCTGCGCCGGCCAGGCGGCCCCAGAAGTCCTCGACGTGGCGCCTCGCTCGCCGTCGCCGCCCGCGGCGCCGCCGCAAGCGCCGCGCCGCCGCCACTGGCGTCAGCGTCCTCGGCGTCGGCGCCGCCCACGCCGCCGTCGCCGCCGCCGTCGCCCTCGCCGCCGCCGGCCGTCGCCCTCGCCGTCGCCGCCCGCCGCCGCCGTCGCCATCGCCACCCGTGGCGTCGCGCCAGCGCCGCCAGCGCCGCCGTCGCCGACGCCGTCGCCCTCGTCGCCGCCGGCCGTCACGTGCGTCGTCCTCGCCGCCGTCGTCGGGGAGGGCGCGGGGGGTGCTCACCCCCGTCCTTCCAGTCCCCATTGCGGCCCGCCCGACCCCCGCGCAGAGAACCACGGAGCCTGATCAGGAGGCCCCCGTCGGCGATCTCGCGCGCGCCCACCACGCCGCCCTCCTCCACATCCCCTCCCCCCGCTCCTCCTCGTCATCTTCCCCTTCTGCTCCTCCTCCCGATCCTGCAACGGGGGCTCGCCTTCACCTCACCTTTCCTTCCTCCTCCGGCCTGCTTCTCTTCGTCCTCCTCCCCTGGCCGTGCTCGTCACTGCCCTCGCCCCCCCCCCACCGGCGGACGTCGGCGGCGAGCCCGCGGGGGAAGTGAGAAGGGGCGGGCCTTCTCAGAAGGCCCGAAGTCTCCCAGTCTCCTGAGAGGTGCTCTAAGCCTGCCCCGAAGACGCAGCGCAAAGAACTTCCCACAAGGCCGGAAGGCTTCTGAGAAGCCCCGCCGCCTTTTGAGAAAGCCTCCTCCGTCTCACTTCCCCCCTTTCCCTCGCCGCCGAGGACTTGCCCGCCTGCTCAGGAAGTCCCCGTTGGCGATCACGGGCACGTCGACCGCGTCCCAGAGCTGGGCCATGCCCTCCCAGTGCGCGGGCAGGTCGGAGACCTCCTCCGCCGTCCGCATATGCACCGCGACGGCGCTTACGCCACTCCTGGGGAAACCAAGAGGTAGACCGACACCGCCACTCCCCAGACCTCGCCCGGGGTGCGTTCTGACCAAACTTTTGACACCAATCCAGCGGTGGCGGCGCGGGCCTCCCGGGAGGCTCAAAGAAGAGGAAAAAAGGCGCAGGGTAGTAGCGGTATGGGTATCGTCGAACCTAGGCCAGAAAAACATCCTGCAAGACCATTTTTTTTTTTCGACGTTGCTCGGACTTCATGCTCAAGCACGCAGCGTTCTGAAATGGTAGTTTAAAAAGGGCAGACTTAGGCCAATGACAAACAGCAGCTTACGCCTGGCTGGCGCGGCAGGAACCTAAGAGGGGCGGGCAGAAAAAAAAACCATAGAACCCCGAGGGGCGCAGAGCTTGCGCTGACGAGGCGGTGCGAGGGTGCGAGGGGAGAGAAACCGAGCGAGCGAAAACACACAAAGAACATCCCAGGGTATCCCCCCAAGGATGCACAAGAACATCCAACGCACACGAACAGCATGAAGGAACCCCTCCGCGAGCCGACCTCGATCTTACACCTCGGTCCGGCTCTACACCCTGCGAAATGCTTTAGAAATCATGGGTTAAGAAATTCATAGTCTCAGAACTTTAATAAAAACCCAAAAGTTCCATTCAAATCTAAGGATTTACATTGAAACGTTAAGAATAATCGAGACTCTGGCCGAAACCTTAGGTTTTCTTAAGCATCGCCTAAGGTGTATACCTCTCCCTCCTCCGAGCTCCGCTCGCACAGCTGCATGAAGTCCCGCGTGCGCGCCGTGGTGGACCGCATGCGTATCTTGCAGGTCACCGCGACCTCGGCGGGCAGCTCCCGACGCAGGGCCCGCAGGATGTCCGCCGCGACCTCGGGGCGCTCCAGCAGCGCCGCGCCCATGCCGCCCTGCGACGAGAAGGGCGCGGTGCAGCCCATGTTGGAGGGAAAGAACGCGGTGGCCATGGTACGCCAAAGCCGGCGCGAGGGCAAATGCGGTTCAGGACACACCGAGGATCTCTGAGACCTGGCGGCTCTGCTGGAGGATGTATCGGGCGCCGCGGCCTTGTCAGAGAGTTCCGTCGCGCTCTGAGCGTGCCGAGAGCGTGCCAGAAAGCCCTGGAACGGATTTATCCTCGTCCTAGCCTCGCCCGAAAAACGATGACCATGTCTTGGTCATCGTACCTCCTGTTCAGCGTCAATTCGTGGACCACCCTCGCGAATCGGTGACGGCCGGCAAGACTTCCTGACCCAAATCGGCGTCGACAAAATGTCGCGACATTAGGGTCGTGCTCAACCCGTTTCTTCCCTCCGCATGTTCACGTCCACCCCCCTCACGTCCCCGCACACAACTTGGGCGGCACGCACCGCCAGGGCCGCGTCCGCTGTGCCCAGCTGGAAGATGTTGCGGCCGCGTTCCTCCGCGCACGTCTTGTAGGTCACGCCGCCGTCGCCCGCGACGAAATCTACGCACCCGAACGCGCTGTCCTCCACCCGCCTCGATTCGATGATCCTGTTGGCACGCCCACAGCGGGTATGGAAATGGTGGGCACGTCGTCCAACAACAGATGCTGTCCACGACCAGCGGCGGCCGCTGTTGGGCAGGCGCCCTCTTGCCTCAAATGGATAGCACCTGCGGCGACGCCGACAGCGAGTCCTGCTCAAAATAGGCAGGAGCTGCTGTCGATCTTCGCACGCACTCTTGCCGTATCCGCCTCGTCCGCACTCTGCCCCTGCGGCTCCCCGCTGCCTGGCCTCCCCTCGCCTGCTGCTGCTTTGCCCGGAAGGAGAAGGAGAGGAGGCAGGCACGACGAGACGACGACGACAGCTGCTCCCCGTTTCCCAAGAAGCACTTGCACTCGAGCGGCCTCCAGGAGAAGAACACAAACACCACATAAACATACACTTTTGGCGCTCCGCGCGGATTTCTTGGATCCGCGCGGGACCCCCCTCCCTGGCTTGCGGAGCGCGCCAGGGGCGGCGTCGGAGGCGCCGCTGGGGGGGGCCCCGGCGCGGATCCAAGAAACCCGCGCGGAGCGCCAAAAGTTTATGCTTATGGCGTTTCTTCTTCGAGGCTCTGCATTTAGCTCGTACCGATCCTGTGGTCCACCTGGACCCCGCTGTAGACCAGGCCAGCACCGTACCGCAGGGCGCACAGCCGCAGCGGCAGGGAGGAGGCCCGGACCATCGGGGAGAGGATCTCCATGCCTGGGACGGGCGGCGGCGGCGGCGACCACACGCGTCGGACGAGAGACGGGTGGGGGGCCCAGACATGATCGCGTCGTGAAAAAGTCAGGACGAGAGATTTCTAACCAATTTCTGCTTCGGGGGGCCCTCGCTGGTCCTCGGGACCGTTAACAAAACGACTCAGGACGAAAAATCGGCCCAGGGGAAAGGGTCTGGACTTCCAGGGACGCCGTCCTGAAAAAATCAGGACGTCGCATGTCTGGGGATAGCAAAGAGAGGGGGCGTTCAAAAGAGGGGAGTCCAAGAGGGGGGCGCAACTCATGGCCAGCGGCACGTGCGCGGCCCGGGGGGGGGGGGCCGGGGCCGTGAGAAATTAAGAAAAGGCGCCTTCACATCTGGGGGGATGTCTCATGCGTTTCCTAAAGGGACGCCAGCGAACGGGACTTCTGAGACCGCGGCGTTGCATCTGAGACTTCGAAGTGCGAGTGTGAGTTTCGTGCGACGACCTTGCGGGCCAAACCGAGCGGATTCGAGACATCGGCATCGCCCGTCTCAAAGTTACCCTTCCCTGGGCCCTGGGGTCCCGTTTGGAACCGCATGAATATCATGGCCCCCGCCAAGATATCCACCCCGGTCAGCGAATCAGCTCACGCAGCTGGCTCTCCTGGCGCCTCGGAAGCGACCACGCCTCGAAGAATGCCGCCCGGCGGCTTGCGGCATAATTCGCACCACCCTCCCGTCCCTGCACGCCCCACTCGTCCGACCCGGCACGACCACGAAGACCACCGCCCGGACGACGTCGACTAACCGCCTCACCGATCCGGGCTCGGCCCGTCCTGGGCCCAGGACGAGTGCGAGGCGTACGCCCCCGTGGCCTGGCCAGAGCCTGGGGGCTGCACGATCCCCCCCGTGGCCGTAGGCGACCCGAGGAGGAGGCGGAGGAGGAGGAGGAGGAGGAGGAGGAGGAGGAGGAGGAGGAGGAGGAGGAGGAGGAGGAGGAGGAGGAGGAGGAGGTGGAGGAGGAGGAGGAGGAGGAGGAGGAGGAGGAGCAGGAGGAGGAGGAGGAGGAGGAGAAGGAGGAGAGGGAGGTGGAGGAGGAGGAGGAGGAGGAGGAGGAGGAGGAGGAGCAGGAGGAGGAGGAGGAGCCTGATCCCTTCGGAGAAACCCTCCGCCGGGGGCCCCAGAGCCAGCGCGGTGGCAGACTGGGCGGCGACCCCGACATGCAGGGAGACCGCGCCGCAGGGCCAGCCGCCGCATGGCTCTGGGACCTTTTGTAGACGAGCGCGTTCCACTGTTCGCAAAGTAACTACTCGCAAATGGCGTGGATCCGCCGAGGGGGATCTACGATACCTTACATCGGAGCAGACATGTTTTTTTTTTTTTTTTTTTTTTTTTTTTTTTTTTTCTGACGTTTGCGAGCAGGCACTTTGCGAGTCGTGGAACGCGCCCAGTGATTTTGGAGGCCCAGTCGCCCGAAGCGTCCTCGGAGACAGCCCGAGTTTCCAAGTCCGCCATGGCTCTGCGGGGCTTCCTTTTCCCTCCAACTTAACCCCTCCCTCGAAATCAACCAACTTAGTCCTTCTGAGAAGTCGGCCTCGGTTGAAAATCGAAGGCCGCTCTATTTTCCAAGGCTGCTTGATCTCAGGGCTGCCGGATTAAAAAACAAAATCATGGATGTTATGCTGCATCCTCGGGGGACCTTGTCTGTCCCGTCGCGGCCCTATCCGCGTCGAGTCCGTGTCGAGTCCATGTCGGCCTCGTTGGATCTGTGTCGAATCCGTGTCGAATCCACGACAAATCCGCGTCGAGTCCGCATCGAACCCGCGTCGGGCACCAGATTTCTCTCGCGCGGCATCACGAAGCCCACCATTGCAGGGATGCCTCAAGCAAAACAGACCGGACCGCCTCACAGGCGGCATCTCAAGGCCCAAAATGACGATGATGGCTTCGCCTCAACCACCCGGACAAGTTCTCGCATGGGGCGTCCTAGCGAAAGTACCCCCCGCCTAGTGGGCAGGACATGGTCCATCGCGATTCCTTATCCGACCCCATTTGTCCCTTTCGGGGATGGGGTCATAGCTGCTCCTGGATAGTTTTTGCCACCTCGCCCAGTCCACCGACCGCTAACCGGAGTCGCTGCCACCCCCCACGGTTCCACCCAAGAACAAATTGAAATACCCTCAGACGGCTCCCCTATTGGGGCGCGGACATGCGATGTCAGAACCATGATCATCGGATTACCCTGGTTATGTCAAGTCGCCACCGTGCCTCTGGGCACGGAGTGGGCGTGCCCTTAGGTCCTCGCCATCATCCTCTCAACCTCAATCCTCATTCCTGAGGAGTCGTTGAGAGACCCAAACCCCACATCGCGAAATCTTTTTCCTGGGGCTTCGCGCGGTTTCTCGCGCGACGGTCTCGAAGATATTGGGGCCCCAAGACGGGCCAACAGCCCTGAGAAGGCCCCCGACGGCCCCAGGACGCCCCGAGACGCTCAAAGATCGCCCCAAGACGCCCTATATGGCGTCATGATGGCCCAGGAGGCCTCGAAGATGCATGCCTTCGTTGTTTGAAACATGTTGGCGCTCTCGCCTGTTTCCTTCCCTCGAGCGCCCGAAGACGGCCCAGGAGGCGCCCAAGACGGCCCAAAAGGCTCCAAGACGGCTCCACTAGTTGCCCAAGAGACGGAACAAGAACCGAAAATCCGAGCGTTCCGCCACGCGAGGCCCCCAGGAGGCCCCAAGAGGCACCCAAGAGGCCCCAAGAGGCTCCAAGAAACCCCAAGGGACCCAACAGCGACCCCAAGGAGCTCCAGGCATAATGGCGGGATGGACCGAAGGCCATTCGATGTGGAGGAGTCCGAGGTGCGACAGCGAATCATGAGTCCAAGGGGCGAGGCTCAGGCCTGGATGTCTCACCCGAACCCTTCCTGCAGTGCTCGGCAAGGTACCCCGACAACAAACGAATCAAACATACGTCGCTGAATTCGGGTCGGCGGCAGAGGCGGCAGCCTTTAGCTTGAACACCATAGCGCTCTATCCGAAACGGGAACCCAACACAAAAGAGCTGGGAATCAAAGATCACGACCGTGACCCTCGACACCATCTTTCTGCTGCGTTGTTGAAGCTGGACCGATCTGCGAGGGCCCCAGGGCCCGAAATCAAACGAAATCGCCTGGTGCGAACAACTCGCGGTTCCAGGACTCCACCTGAGCAGGGACCGACCATCCCGGCAGTGTTCCTAGGCCTACCACGAACTGTTCCTGGAGTAAGCGAATGCTCGAACAACAGAAACAGTGTTCTGGATAACCTACCGCCAATGTTACAGGAAGCCATGACGCCGCGCTTCTGCTTGACTCAAAGAAAATATTGGAAGACCGCTTGTTTGGACGACCGAAGTGGGTACGGAAAAAATGGACACACTGCCCAACAACATATGTTGTCCAAAACCGACAGCAGCCGCTGTTGGGCAGGCAGCGTTTCGTCTTCAATGAGCAACGTCCGCGGCGGCGCGGACAGCGAGTCCCGCCCAAGATGAGCAAGAACTGCTGCCGGTCTTTGCGCCCCTTCTCTCCGTACCCATCCCGATCGCCCCGAGATTTGGGACTCCTGCGGGATGCCGCGGTAGTCGGGGGGCCCGTCCCAGCCCTCGGCGGCGCAGCCGACCGCCGTGGCGCCGCACCCCTGCGGGACACCGGGGCGCTGCGACATGGCCCGGCGGCATGCGCACGGGGGGTGGCGCGAGGGGGGCGGCCTTCTGGGAGCCAGCGGGGGCCTCCGAAGGCGTGGGCGCGCGGGCCTTTTTGTTGACAAGAGGGCCCACGCAC